AGTTGTGTTTTGTTGCTAGGTTAGTTGTGTTTTGTTGCTAGTTTAGTTGTTCTTTCTTGCTGTTAGGTTAGTTGTGTTTTGTTGCTAGGTTAGTTGTCTGATGCTGCTAAGTTAGTTGTGTTTTGTTGCTAGATTAGTTGTCTGATGTTGCTAAGTTAGTTGTATTTTTTTTTTATAAAAAAATTGTAACCCATAGGATTTGAACCTGGTACCTCATGGAGGTAAGACAAGCAATGCAACCACTACACCACTCAAGGTTGAGTATCTTTTGTTGGTAGGTTATTTATTTCAATACAACGGGTTAACGCCGGAAGTCAACGGTCAACACCGGAAGTCAACGATTCTAGCCGGAAGTCAACGCCGAAAGTCAACGGTCAACGCCGGAGTCAACTAATAATTATTTTATTATTTAATTAATGTATATTTTAATTGATTTTGATCTAGACAAAATGAGTGGTTAAGATTAAGTCTCACGTACTCATTTTAAGGAGTGGTCTCATTGGATCCATCCCCTATATATACATGTCATATTTGATATATATATATATATATATATATATATATATATGTGTGTGTAATTAAATACCAAAGAAAAAAGAATAAAAATAAGATAAATAGTAAAAATGCCTAACTAAAAAAAGAATAATAAATATGAAAGTAATATGGTTAACCATATTTATAATTTAATTTTTAATGTAAATAAAATTAGAATATTTTTCAAATTTTATAATATAAATTAATAATGAAATGGTGATTTTACAAATCTCTCTCTCATTCTCTCTCTCTTTTTCTCCATTTCTCAATATTTAATTTATATATTCGAATACTTTAGTATAGATGATATTTAGCACTAAACTAAATCAAATTAAATATTAGAAATCGCATCTTTCCGATCCCACAAATGTTTGACTATGTTTACAGATCTACTATTTAGCGTAACTCACAATCCCAAAGTAGCTAATTTCGACATTTGACCATGTCTTGTTTGGACTCCATCAAAGCTCTAACCTTTATATCATCTTCACCAGTCTATGCTGTGAAATCACACTCCTTTCCAAGTTTGGCAGCCCGCAACTCCCTCGTGCCTGCTAAAAACCTCAAAACCTTCCCAAGATTTGCAGTAATGGAGCTCAAGGCATCTCAGGCGCCACCACCAACAAGGTAAAACCCGGAACAATCCGAACCAATAAATAATGCACAAGACGAAGCACTCTTAGTTTATGGAACATTTCCTTTTCCCCCTTTTTTTTTTTTCGATTTCGTAGGTATGCGGTGGTGACAGGAGCAAACAAAGGCATCGGCTTTGAGACTGTGCGCCAGCTGGCAACCGCCGGCGTCATCGTTGTCCTGACGGCCCGAAACCAAGAAAGGGGATCGGAGGCCGCGAAGCAGCTACAGGAATCCGGTCTGTCTAATGTAATATTCCACCAGCTTGATGTTCGAGATGCACAGAGCATACAAGCTCTTGCCAAGTTCGTGGCGCAACGATTTGAAAGGCTTGATATTTTGGTAACTTAAATTATTTTGACTCAAGTTTCTTTCTATGATATGAATTTGATAGCTAAGTGTACTCGTTTGCCTCACAAATTGAACGGTTGTTCCTGAATGTGGGTTGGTTGATGTATTTGGATAGATTTGTCAATGTGTGTACTATAGATGGTGGCAGGTGAAGGTTTTATCTGAGCTTAAGCATAAAAATATGGTTTGATTCAGATTCTTAAGAGACTACGGATGGAAAATCATGAGTTATATTATTGGTGTGAATCTGTTGAGTTTTTCAGGTAAATTTACTGGACAATTTTGTACTTACTTTGCGGACTAGCTTCCGACAAATCCCTCATCATAACTTTTGCGAGAAACATATGCCTTGTGCGGTCCCATCCCGACTCTTTTATTATGGTTTTCGATTTGCATGAGTTCTATTGGAAATTTTGAATAATATTTTTTTTAATGTGAATATTGAAAAATAGTCGGTTGAAATTGAGATACAAAAATGCAGTTGGGTTTAGAAATAGGATGATGATTTGTAAAATAATTTTCATTCCAGATGCTTGTCTTTTTTGCCAGAACTAACATGATTAATATTGAGTTGCATTAGATGGGAATGTTAGGAGATGGCGATGTGGTGTGGATTGGACTGGATTGAGCAACAATATAGGAAACTTGTCTGAGATTAAATATCTGGATATTGTGGAATAAATGCATAGAGATGTGTTCAGAGAGAATGTAGCTATAGGATAAAGTAGAAGTTCATTAAACAGAACATATTTCAATATCTAGGAAATAGTATACTGGAATAGGGATTTGAAAATGGGGACATGCCGAGGTCCACATATTTGATGGGATCCATCCAAACTTAATCAAGATTGCCCAATTTAGGTGTTTAGTGCTTTGTGGATCTGAAAAAAAATTGATTTTTGATTCTTTTGTTAACTTTGAAAAATTTTTGTTCACCGTTGACTATTTGATTTGTGCAGGTAAACAATGCTGGAGCTTCTGGGGTAGAAGTTGATGAAAATGCGCTTAAGGCTTTAGACATTGATGCTGCAACATGGGTAAGACATCATTATAAATCATTTTAACGTCATTACTGAAAAAGAAAGGTATAAGTTCAGTGAAACATGCTACTTACTGTTCAAGCTTGTTTGAATGAGCTTAAAAAACTCTCTTTGAATTTAGTTTGGTTTCTGAATGGGATACACATTCAAGATTCATTTCTCCATGTTAATCATCCGTGTTCTGATGAGCTTTTAGTGTTTAATCTCGAGAAAATGGTTCTTTTTCTCAATGCTATCGGCTGACGTAGCTGATGATCACAAATATAGTTGTTCAATTTTTCTCCTCGACAAAATGCAGCTGGCAGGTAAGGCAGTGAACTTGATTCAAGATGCCATTAAGACAACCTATGAGAAGGCAAAAGAATGCATAGACACCAACTACTACGGTGTCAAGAACGTAACCGAAGCCCTTATTCCTTCCCTCCAAAAGTCCACCTCAGGAGCAAGAATTGTGAATGTCTCTTCCCTAAGGAGTGAGTTAAATGTAAGAAAAATCTATTTTTATTCATATATGTATTTTTCCAGAAATAGTTTATCCAAACATGAGAACAAACTGGTCCGAGTAACTTTTATTTATTTTCCTTTTCTATTTCTTCTCCCCTTTAATGCAGCGTGTCCCTAACGAGGACAGAAGGAAAGAACTTGGAGATATCGACACATTAACGGAAGAGAAAATCGACAGAATACTTCAACAATTTTTACACGACTTGCAGCATGGTGCGCTAGAGGCCAACGGGTGGCAAAAGATGCTACCGGCATACAGCATATCTAAGGCTACTCTAAATGCGTACACGAGAGTTCTGGCCAAAAGATATCCTGAAATGTGCATAAACTGTGTGCATCCAGGGTTTGTGAAAACGGATATCAACTGGCAAACGGGGACCATGACTGTGCAAGAAGGAGCCGAGGGGCCCGTAATGCTAGCCTTGCTGCCTGAGGGAGGCCCCACTGGCTGCTATTTTGACTGCACGCGTTTGGCTGACTTTTGATTTTTTACGTGCGAAAGTTGTTTAAACATAAATTTAATTCGATGTGTCTTTTGGATTGTTAGATGAAAAGAAAAAAAGGATCTTGTGATGATTCCTAGTTGAGGGAAGGCATTGTTGCAAATTGTTTGCCTGTACTGTTTTTCTAATAAGAATTGTGTGTACAACTGTACAAGTGGTAATCACAAGAACCTGGTGAATTGTTTCGAGTTTGTGTTTAGATGGGTTCTAACAGACACGTTAAAGCTCTAAAACGAAACAAAGAATTACATCCAATTTTGGCTCAGAGTATCAATTGCTTCAGTTTATTCTAGCATTTTTTTTCTTCCTTACATACAATTAGGGGTGTTTATCAATTGCTCCAGTTAATTGTTTGCGGCCTATGTTGTTTACAGAAAATCTGTTGATTCTGCAAGTCAAAAGCAATGTTGTTTTTCCCAATTGTATGTGTTCTTTCTGAACATATTCAGATTATTAATCAAATTCAGTTGTAAGTTTAAATAAATGTATAAAACTCAATGCATCAACTAACGTTATTAATTACATGATAATATTACTAAAAAACATAGCTCGTGTGATGCAATAGGGTTGTAAACGAGCCGAGCGGAAAAACATAGCTCATGTGATACAGTAGGGCTATGAACAAGCCGAGCCCTGCTCGACTCGTTAAGTAAACTAGTCAAAAATCGAGTTTGACTCATTCATCAATATTAACGAGTCGTGTCTGCGCCTTAACAAGTTGATCTCGAGCTTTTAAGAGTCGAACTATTGAAAATTATATAAGAATTCTCTTTCCAAACCTTAACGAGCCTTATCGAGTCGAGTCGAGTTCGACTCATTAACGAAACGAGTTTTACACGAGTTCAAGCTCGGCTCGTTTATCAAACAAGCCGAGCCGAACTCTAGCCTTAATGAGCCGAGCTAATGAACGGCTCATTTCATTTAGCTGCTCTATGCATGAGTCAAGTCATATTAAACTGTATAACGTGAATTGATGATCGATTTGATATAAGATTAACACATAAATTAATTATACTAATAGTGTTGCCTCGTGCCCTTATAAATGCACGAGATTATTAGAATAAACAGTAATCATTTTGTGCACATACACAAATATATAATATATTATAAGTTATATGTGTGAATATGATGTTAAAATTATAAATTAGATAATGGACACTAGTGCGTGACCCGTGCGATGCACAGACTGTATTTAATTAGGGAACATTAAAATTTAAAATGTATACATAAATAAAAGAGTTATAATATGTAGGGAAATTGTACAATCATATGATGTTCGTCAAAACAAAAATCATATGTTATTAAAAACTTACTTGTACACAACATTATTAGTTTGATTACTAGGAAACTCTTCGTTCCCACAAATTAATATCTTCAATTTATAGTTACACGCGAAACAACAACATATAACTTACCATGACTACAAAACAATTTCTTCAAAAACAGCCCAACGTGAGATAAAGACTGGCCCTGACTCTCGTTTATGGTCATGGCATACGAAACCATAAATACAAACTGTCGCTGCTAGAACTTAAATGGAACCCTAAGATCAAAAGGAGTTATATCCATTCTAGGAATAAAACCTTCTCTCCAGTAGGGTTGTAAACGGCTCGACTCGTTAAGTAAATGAGTCATAAATCGAGTTTGACTCGTTGATCAATATTAACGAGTCGAGTTCGAGCCTTAACAAGTTGATCTCAAGCTTTCAGAGCTGAACTATTAAAAGTTATATATATTCTCTTTCCGAACCTTAACGAGCCTTATCAAGTCGAGTCGAGTTCGACTCATTAACGAAACGAGATTTACGCGAGCTCGAGCTCGGCTTGTTTATCAAATAAGTCGAGCCGAACTCTAACCTTAATGAGGCGAGCTAACGAAAGACTCGTTTCATTTAGCTGCTCTATGCATGAGTCAAGTACTCATGTTAAACTATATAACGTGAACTGATGATCGATTTGATATAAAAATACCACATAAATTAATTATACTAATTGTGTTGCCTCGTGCCCTTACAAATGCACAAGAGATTATTAAAATAAACAGTAATCATCTTGTGCACATACACAAGTGTATAAAATATTATAAGTTATATGTGTGAATATGATATTAAAATTATAAATTAGATAATAGATTATAGTGTGTGACCCGTGCGATGCAAGAGTTGTATTTAATTAGGGAGTATTAAAATTTAAAATGTATACATAAATAAAAGAGTTATAATACATAGGAAAATTGTACAATTATAAAATGTTCATCAAAACAAAATTCATATATTATTAAAGATCTACTTGTACACAACATTATTAGTTTGATTACTGGGCAACTCTTCGTTTCCACAAACTAATATTTTTAATCCATTTCTATTAGTTACACGTGAAACAACAAAATATAACTAACAATGACTAGAAACCAGTTTCTTCAAAAACAACTCAACGTGAGATAAAGACTGACTCCGACTCTCGTTTATGGTCATGACATACAAAACCATAAATAGAAACTGCCGCTGTTGGAACTTAAATGCTACCCTAAGATCAAAAGGATTTATATTCATTCTTGGAATAAAACCTTCTCGCCAGCGTGATCTCCCATCAATATCTTGCATTCAAGCATATGAGTGGAGAGTTTGGTCACAATCAATCGTGTTCCATTGTACAGTCCCATAGAATGATCCATGTTCCGCAATAGCATGACCTGAGTTTCTATCTTCCAATGCAACTCATGATTCGGTGTTCCCGAACACTTGATGCTATTCAAGAACTCAGGCGTGTGGAGATCCGCCAAGAAGTCGTTGTTGATATCAAACTTAGAAGTACTGCCAGAACTCAAATACGTGCGACCTTCAGCAGAATTCATCTCCAACATGTATAGATTGATAGACTTAACGACTTCCAACGTAGGCGCTAAAATAACGCTATCCTTCAAGTAACTTGGATCGTCAGTTGAATTCTTAAACATTACATAGGTACCTTCTACAATTGTAACAATTAGATTATCGAAGGGATCAAGTCCAAAATAATCTGGTATGTCAATCGAGGAACAACAGTCATTTGATCCTCCTAAAAAAATGTAGTCCACAGACGTGTCCCTTATCCTCTAGGCTTGCATAGGATCAGCCGCAATATAAATGGAAATGTATAGTGTTTGGAAGGCAATGAAACAATAGCTTCAATGTTTATATGCACAAAGAGAACAGTGAACATTAATGAGTGAAGAACAAATTTTTCAAAAGCTTTCTTCTTGTGTTGATGGCTTCATTTGCTTTCCATGTATCCGTTGTCATGTTTCTCTTTAGATAATACTTTTGATAGCTATCATCGAATCTTGTATACGCCACAAAAAACATTTCAAAATCATATAAATAAATTGAAGAGATAACTTTTATTAACTGTGATTTTTTTCTTTCATTTTTTCATAAAAAAAGTTGTAAAGTTGATAAGTTATTTTGATGTACGTGAACTTGATATATTACCTCTTTGCATTGATTTTCAGCGAGAAATGTAACTGAAAATAGTACATGACCAGCACACATCATTGTCAAAACATATTAGCCATATCACTATGGCCTATGCTATTTTTGATACTTTATCACATAAAATTTTGAAAGTTTTTTTTTTTTNAAGAAATAACATAAACACGGAGAAAAATGATACAATGTACAGATACAACCAAAACAAAATAACCTTGCTTACAACAATCTTCACTCAAAGTTAATTTTCCGTGATGGTACAGATAAAACCTTGCTTACAACCAAAATTTTGAAAGCTAACAATTAGATTTAAAATGGTACTGTTAATTTTCCGTGATGATTTTTTCACTTAAAATGTATCTTCACTCAATGGTTATCATAGACTCACAGCCCATAAAAAGTTCAACCCTATTGGTGAGGGCAGCACCCTCACTAGATTTTTTATTATTGAATCAACACATATCCATCCCCCCCAAAAATCCAATTTCCTTCAAATCCCGTCAGTCGCCTTCTCAGGTAGAGCCCGGTGAGTGCTCGGTGGGGCTCAATTGGACTTTGTGGCCCTTGTCTGTGAAGATGCGCCGCTAGGAGGGAGCTTTTTCTCCGCGGAGAGGGTTGAGCCATATTCCGGCTTCCGCCTCGCGGCTGGGATTGAGTGGCGGCCGGCTGTTCTTCCTCCGGTATATCCGTTGCGGCGGCCTCTGGCACTCTTCTGGTGAGGGCTGTGACCTCAATTTCCCGATCTAGGATTTTAAGGTGGAGACTTTGTCCGTTTGTTTGAGTCTGTGTTAGTATTGTTCTTTGGTATTGCATTTTTGGTTTAGGCCACTTGGTCCCTGTGAGTCCGAGTGCAACCTTATTATCTTGTTGGGATTCTACACTCGAGCATTATCCTGTTGGAATCTTTGTAGTTGTTTTAGTGTAGTTGCGAGTTCGTCATTCTAGCGTTGCTAGACGGTTCTAGGCGATCTTCGGATCTGCCTCCCAATTTTATAACCTCTGGTTGTACTATTCAGCTTCTAACTGCTTTCTTTTCACACTTTGTACGATTTTTATTAATATAATACCTCTATCGTTTCGAAAAAAAAAAAATCAAACACGTAATATGAGTGTCTCAATTCAATAGTAAAAAAGCCGATAAAGACAATGCCCTAACGAAATCGAATTAACCAAGAGCCCACACATTGTTTCACCTTAATTATATTTTTACTGAAAATTCTAAATAAAAATGCCAAAAAAAAGGACTGTTGTGCCCACAACGCATGAGATGAGACAATAAATTCAAATTTCGCCATAATAAAAAATTAACGTTGGCAACATTTCTTGCTCACACACAAAATAAATAAATAAATAACCATTTTATTTGTCTTCTACCTCACATCTCATTTCAATCCCACATATAAATTAACATTAACAAAACATCACACTAACTCAAACACAGAAAAATCAGAAGCAAATTACACACACATATTAATGGCCCAGGCCCAGCCCAAAGCCGCCGCCACCCACATTGTCCACCACCTCTTGATCGCCGCCTTCCTATTAGCGGCCGCTCTGCCTATCCCGGCCGCCCAGTCGCCGGCATCGGAGGTTCCACTGTCACCGGCGGCACCGGGACCGTACCCGTACTCGACAGCTCCTTCACCGGCGCTGGATTGCTTCACCTACCTAATAAACCTTTCGGATTGCCTGACGTTTGTGGAGGGCGGGAGCAACCTGACCCGACCCGACCCGGGATGCTGCCCGGAGCTGTCCAATTTGGTCTACACGCAGCCGATCTGCCTGTGCCAGCTCATCGGTAACCCGGGTCGGGTCGGGGCTTCGGTTGACGTCAGCAGGGCCCTCAAGCTGCCCTCCGCTTGCAATGTCACCACCCCTCCTGTTAGCTTGTGTGCGGGTACGTCCAATTACTTGCTATTTCGCGTTTCTTCTTTTACTTAATTTTTCGAAGACGCGCATCAGCGGTTTGTCCCACTTTACAATTTTTCAAATTAAGATGTGATAATTTAAAAATAATATAAATATGAACAACCTTAATAATATAACGTATTAGATTTTTTAGTGGTTTATTTTGCTTAAATTAACTTGTTAAGATATTTCTTAGCTTTGGTAGCAGATGGTTGGGTGAAATTGTTATTGTGGAAATAAAAATAAAATAATAAACAATAACCACCAGTATTTTGATAACTCTATCATTCAATAATTCTTACGCATTACATCAACTTTAATTCACTATTTATTCACTCATATAATTTTAAATAACTATTATTTTTAATTATTTATCTTCTGTTTTTACATTAAATCAATTTTAATTATTTTAGTTTAAATATTATTTTAATACATTATTAATCATTTTATTTTGTCTCATGCTAACGGCTATATTATTGGTAATGACGTGCATAGAAATTTTCTGCGATAAATTATTAGTGAAGATCCCTCTTCAATGTCTTCATTTTTTTTATTTTTATTTTTTTTTTCAACACGATAGATTTTATAACTCAGAAGAGAATGTACAAAGTTTACAAAAGCCTAACACAAGTAGGAATACAAGGAGCACCCCTCAGGTGCCCTAAATAACCAAAGCTAACCAAAAGACCATTACATAGCTCCAATCTTAGCTTAGGCTGAAGCTAAGGAGACTGAGATTGGGGGCATGCAATGGTTGTGCTACTAACCAAAATAACACATGTCAAAAGATACTCCTACCACTGAAACAAGAACCTAGCAGGAGCATCACTACAAGGAACAAGAGACAGCATAATCCAACAGCTAATACAACACAGGGATGAACAAAAGCAAAAGAAAAAACTAAAATAACTCAAAAGGAAATAGAAAGCATTCTAACTAAGGGAGCTGGGCATTGCAAAATTCCATCCATGCTGAAGAGGCTGAATGCACTATATTGTACTCAGAAAGCCAGTAGTTTTGAAAAACCCAAAGATTTCGAGCTTTCCAAATCCACCAAAGGAGATATACAGTGATCTGAACTCTCCTGTCAGCCATGGGGCTTTTCTTTAGTGAGCTGAGCTTAATCCACCATTGCTTGAAGTTGTTTCTGCACTCATCCAAGCCATCCCAATTTATGGTTGCCAGCTTCCAGACAGTCTGAGTTTTTCCGCAGTGAAATAGCAGGTGTTCTATGGTTTCTGGTTCAACACCACAGAGCTTGCAAATGGGATCAAAGGATTGGAGTCTCTTGTGGAGGGCATTACTTACTGGAAGTGAGTTAGTGAAGCATTTCCATATGAAGTGCTGCAGCTTCCCTGCTACCTTGAGGGACCATATTCTGTCTCTAGCTTGTTTAAGTTCTCTCCCCATGTTGCTGCCTTCAGGAAAATCAAGTTTGAGCCATTTTTCTTCCACCAGTTTTTTGTACACATCAGCTACAGTCACACTTTCAGATTTGCTATGCTGCCATTTAAGACTGTCATTGCTGAGGGGGTCTAGCCCTTTGATGTTGAGGATAGCTGAGCTTTCATCAGGTGGAAAACACTGCTTGACCATCTCTACATTCCAGTTTCTCCCTGTCTCATCAATGAGTTCTTGTACCCAGTGAATTCTGCCATTCCAAGGGTTCAGAGGTGAAGGTTTGTGGTTTGCCTGATATGGAATCCAAGGATGCTGCCAGATATTGATCAGTGCTCCATTGTTCACCTTGAATATCACATTCTGATTGAAAAAGGATAATGTTTTCCTCCAGCTGGCCCAAAGCCATGATGTATTTCCTTGTTTCTTTGCAGAGAGTAAAGAGGATGAGGGGTAGTATTTGGCTTTGAGAATTTTGCTAACCAAAAGGTCTGGACAGTTGTGGAGTCTCCATAATTGTTTGACAATCAGTGCTTGGTTCATAAGATGGATATCATGGAATCCCAAGCCACCCTTGTCTTTTGGCAGTGTGATATGACTCCAAGTTTTCCAGTGAATACCCTTGGTACCCTCCTTCTTGCTTCTCCACCAGAAATTAGCAAAGTGCTTTGCTATTTTGTCACAGATGGCCTTAGGCAAAATGAAGCATGACATAGCATAAATGGGCAAGGCTTCCAAGACTGCTTTGAGCAAAATTTCTTTTCCTGCAAGATAAAGGAAAGAATTCTGCTAATTTGAAAGTTTATTATTAACAGCTTCTTCAATGTAAGAGAATGTCTCCACTTTGGATTTCCCAATGCCCAGGGGGAGGCCAAGGTATTTGGAGGAGGTTTGAGGTTGAATGCCCAAGAGGATGTTGCAGATTTGGCTTTTGAGGTTCTGGGGGGTATTTTTACTGAAAAAGATTGAGGATTTTTGGAGGTTGACACATTGCCCAGTGATAGCATTGTATTGGCTAAGGATTCTGAGAATGAGGTGAGCTTGGTTTGAATCAGCTTTGGATAGGAGGAGTGTGTCATCTGCAAACATGAGATAGGTTAGGGTAGGGCTGTTTCTGCAAATTTTGATTCCCTTGTATTGACCTGAGGAAGACAAGTTGTTAATGATAATTGATAGGATTTGAGAGACCAATAAAAATATGTATGGGGACAATGGGTCTCCTTGTCTTATTCCTCTAGTAGGGATCACATAACCACAGACATTGCCATTCACATTAAAAGAGAAAGAAGCTGAATTTAAGCAGGCTAGGGTCCATTTCACAAAGGATTCATGGAATCCTAATTTGATCATGATGTTTCTGACACTGGACCATTCCACTCTGTCAAAAGCCTTTGACATGTCCAGCTTGATGGACATATAATAGGACTGACCTGATCTATGGTTATTAAGAAAGTGGATAATCTCATGTGCAAGAATGACATTGTCAAGAATCTGCCTATTAGATATGAAAGCTGATTGGGCATCATTAATGCAGAGGGGAAGGGTTGGTTTAAGTCTGGTGGACAAAATTTTAGAAATGACCTTATAAGTGACATTGCAAAGGCTGATGGGCCTGAACTGGGAAATCATGTCAGGCTTCTGAACTTTAGGGATCAAAGTAATTAAGGTGTGGTTAATACTTTTAAGCATTTTACCAGATTGAAAAAAACTGAGGACCAGAGCACAGAGATCATTTTTAATGAGGGACCAAAAGTGCTGAAAAAACAGAGAAGTCATACCATCTTGGCCAGGGGCCTTGTGAGGGGAAATGGAGAAGAGAGCAGCTTTAATTTCATCCTCTTCAACTGCAGCTGTGAGATCAGTGTTCATGGCTTCAGTGATCACTGGAACAATTTCATTAAGAACTGGGTCTGCATATGATGGACCTTGTGATGAAAAAAGGCCATGGTAGAACTCCTCAATACACTTAGCAATTTCATCTGGTGTGTCACAAACTGTTGAGTCTTCCCTGATCAATCTAGTGATTTTGTTTCTCTTCCTTCTGTGAGATGTGTGAGCATGGAAAAACCGGGAGTTTTTGTCTCCATGATTGAGCCATGTAATCCTGGACTTTTGTTTCCAGTATTGTTCTTCCATATTGTAGAGGTCATTGAGCTCTTTCTGAATTGAGTCCCATTTTTGCCAGTCTCGAAGTCCTCCTTCCCATCTAAGCTCAGCCAGCTGTCTGTGAAGGGATTCAATTGCCATAGCATTTTCAGATTTATATTTGCAGCTCCACTTGAGGAGGTTTAGTCTGACCCCTTTGATTTTTTCTTGGAAGCAAAACATTGGTGTTCCTGATTGATAACAGTTCCAAGCAGCAGAAACTACTTCAGATACACCTTCTCTCTTGAGCCACCTTTGATCAAAGAAAAATCTTTTCTTTTGTGATTTGGTCTCTGGATTGGAGTTGAGGCAGAGTAGGCCATGGTCAGATGATGATTTGAATTCATTGAGGACTATGGAGTTTGGGTATAGAGTTAGCCATCCCAGTGAGCAGAAAATTCTGTCCAGTTGTTCTTCTACAAACCCTTCTCCTTGTCTGTTGTTTGCCCATGTGAATTTGTGGCCTTTGAGCTCAATTTCATGCATACCCATCAGTGAAATGAATGTGTTGAATCCTCGGAATGATGATAGTGGTCTAGTAGTTCCCCCTTTTTTCTCCTCTAGGCATGTGATCTCATTCCAGTCACCCCCTACAAACCAGTAATCACCCCACTTTTGCTGAGCTTCCAGAAGATATTGCCATTGTTCCTTTCTAACTTGAGGATGGGTACTAGCATAGACAAAGGTACCCCAGCAAGTGATGTTCTTTTCCTCATCCCAGAATTCCACTTGGATGCAAAAATCAGTCTTGATGATTTGAAAGATATGGACATCAGAGTTCCATATGAGCAGAAGGCCTCCACTCCTACCAAGAGGGTCAACAGCAGACCAGCAGTCTCCAAGGTTAAGTTTTTTACATATGGTATGTACAAATTTTTCTTTTTTTTGAGTTTCAGAAAAGAAAGCAAAAAGGGGGTGGTGGAGTTTCCAAGACTCCTTGAGCTGGGAAATTGTAGAGGCCCCACCCAGGCCTCTACAATTCCACAGGGTTGTCTTCATTGATCAGGGTGCGGCCATTTGGGGCTGGCCTCCTTTACCCTGGAGTCTTCAATTTTTTGCTTTTTCTTGCCTTGGTCAATTTCAAGAATTTGGTTGAGCTCTGGATTGGAAGATGCTTCCATGATGGTTAGCTGTCTTTTTTTTCTGGTTAATCTGGCTGGTGTTGGTTGGGGTGGGGGTGTTTTGGGATTGGGCTTTCTCTTCCATTTCTTGCTAGGGGTAGGTTGGTCATTGGGTTCAGGGGTTGGGGTAAAATGTAGAGGGCATGCTTTGTCTTGGGGTTCTGGAAGCATTAGGAGGTGGGTTTCATTGGTTGTTGCTGTAGGTTGAACATCAGTGTCCATAGGAATTTGGGGTATAAGGGTCTGAGAGGGGTTAACAAGAGGCGTGATGGCTTTGGATGGGGGTGTGATGGAGTTTTCAGTGGAGCTGGGTATTTGGTTATCAGGTTGTACTGGATTTTGGGATGTGTCTTGAGGTGTGTTTTCATTGGAATGATGGGGTGAGGG